ATCCATGTCAAATTTTAAGCCTTGCAGAGGAAGTTTGGTCAGTCAATTGCTCAAGAAGTCCAAAAATCGACTGTGCTAGGGCAAAAGTCAACTGTGACCCAAATACAGTCAAACTTCAAGATTTTTTTGTCAACATTCTCATTTTGAAGGATATTTCATCATTTGATCAAGGTTTGATCATGATTCATCAAGGATTGCTCAAAATTCATCAAGACTCAAAAGTTGCTAAATTAGGGTTTTGCAGGAAAAGTCAAGTCAACTTTGACCAAGCATAACTTTCTCATACTTTATGAGAAATGACCCATCCAAAGCTCATTTTGAAGAGGATGCAATTTCCTACAATCCATATTCATACTCCAAGATCAATAAATTCACTCACAAGAAGTTACAAATTTGGACATTATAGGTCATTTTTGAAAGTCAACAAAAACACCTTTTTTTCCAAAGCTTATAACATGAGAAAGGAATATCAAAATGAGGTGAGACCAAAAGGGTTGGTTAGAGGACATCTCAAGCTTTCTAAAAAGTCTAAGAAAACTTCCACAAGTTCAAAATTGAAGAAGTTATGCATTGTTGAAGTTGGGCATTTTTCCAAAATTGCCAAAAGTCAATTATCCCCAAAACTTCAAATTTTTTCAAATGGGCCCATTCTTTTCCACTTGATTTGGTCTCGTCACACTACACACGTGTCCTAGCTTCAGCCTTGTGTCCATTTATTAATTTTTCTATTTTATTTGATTTTTTATTGAATTAATGCATTTAAAATCAATTTAAATCATATAAAATCTAAATATTGATGACTTATGATCTTTTTGATTGATATAGGTCTTAATTGTCATCATGGACATGATCAAATCCGTATCAAGCCATATCATGAACAAAATATTGGATTTTTGACAAATTTGGAAGCTTTTTAATGGTGAATCAAATCACATCCCCAAACATCAATGCATAAGGATTCAGCCCAAGAAAGTTAACCTAATTCATTCCATATTACTTATACAATGCAAAGGCACGAGAATTAGAGGTTGGAGGCTTCCAAATCACAAAAATCAAAACTTGAAAAAAGGTGGAAAAGCTTGAAACTGAAATCACGTATTGAGGTGTTTTCAAGGCCAAATATCATCACCAATCCCTTGCTGGACATCCATCGAAGCAAAACCAATCCTTAACAAGCTCTGATACCTTCTCAATCCCACTGTAATCTTCGCGTTTTACCGCCCTGTAGCCAAATTCATAACTCCACATTCTTGCGTTTTTTTGACAAATTATTGGCATGTTCATGATCCTTGTGTGATTTCTGAACTTTCTACATTATTTAATTGTATTTATATGACCTGTAATGCCATACCCGAATCTAGGGTTCTTGGTCTTTGTTTTTAGGCGTTTTGTTTGTAGGAAAAATCAGGGCAAACAATGGACATGGATGAAATCAGGATGCCCATACGAATCGAATCACGGTCTTAGAATCAATTTTTATGGCCTAGGATAGATTTTAGGATGGCCATGCACATTTAGCCGCGGATACAAATCCGCAGGTAAAAAAACCAGGTTTTAGTGGAGAAGACGAAGACGTGGCCTTTTCCCATTCGCCCATTCAAATAATTCGCGCTTTATTTTTTTATATTTCTGGCATAGTAATTGTTTTTCATATAATATTTGCTATCCATTATAATAACAAATGAGGCGTAGTGGTGTAGTGGCAAGGGTGAGCGTTCAAAGCCAATAGGACCTGGGTTCGAATCCCAGGTCCCCCAATTGCATATTATTATTTTTCTACAGAAGTTCCAACGCGTTTCAAAGATTGTGGACCCCCATACACCATCAAATATCAAAGCACCAGATGGCCCAAGGCCAGATCTGGTGACTCAGGTTGAAGGTCCATCATGCTCTCAAGTCAATGTGCGTGTGGAGAATCAGAAGGTCAACCGGGCTTGCAACGTAATGGGCCTGGAAAAATTGCAATTCTTACCTCTTGTTGGGCCCAGAACCCCCTGAGTATTTTATTTCTATTTCCTATTTCTTTTATTTAATTGTTTTGTATTATTATTTTTATTATTTAATCACTAACTAATTAATCTTTTTCTTAATAAAAATCAAAAACCAAAAAATATATTTTATTTATTAAAATTAAATTCAGCATTTTATTTTTGTAAATAAATATTAATTCAATTAATTTAGTTTTAATTAGGTTTAACTTTTAATATTTTTGCAATATTTAAAATCAATGTAGATAATTAGGTTTTACTAACTTTAAATCAAATTTATTTTATTTCTTTAAATATCCAAAAATCCAAAAATATCTTTTTTGAATTAATTAATTAATTAATTTAAATAACTTAGTATTATTTCCTTTTAATTCAAAAAATAACAAAAATTCTTTCTTTAATAATTAAAGGGTCAAAACCCTAGAATGCGCCCGATTCAATTTTCCCGCACGCGATCCATTTTACCATATTGATGTAATTGTTTCCCGGAATGTAATAACTTTTAATTAGGACTATTTAATTTATTTATCGCTTTATTTATTTTCCGCATTTTAAATTCAAAGGTTGTTTTTGGCGATATAAATACCCGACGCCTTGTAATAGTTAGATTTAATTTCCGCAATTTTATTTCCGCAATCTATAAACTGTTAGATGTTTGATAAATAGGGAATGCATGACAAGATCAAATGTTTGAACCTAAAATCAACATAGCTCACCCATGACATGTACAAAGACAAATTAACTGAAAATAACACACTCGCACATGCGCACTCTTAGGGTACACCTCACTTGGTTGCCTTCGAACGTGGTCATTGAGTATAGAAAGTTTTAGAGGTCGCCTTCTTGTCCAAAGATCATAGTTGCCTCGAAATGGTTGCCTCAGAAAAATGATCTAAGACATTAGGGTTACCGCTAAGGCGTCCTAATATTGCTTTAGTGACCACACGTCCCTTAATCGAATTGACCCTTAAAACTCCGACGACGATGCTACCTACTCATCAATAGTGGGATAGCATCGTCTAAAGGACATTAGTACAAATTGATTCCTTTTTCGAGTAGGTAGATGGTTCTTAAGTACTTGCTCTTTCAAAACAAAAACTTTTCGCACTCACACTTTTCAAACAAAAACTTCTTTCAAACCCACAAACACAAAGAAAAGCAAATTTTGAAAACACTTTGAGCAAGTACCTAAGAGCCCGTGGATAACCACGGATAGAAAGGGTGCTAACACCTTCCCTTTCTATAATCTACCCCCCGAACCCGAGAAATATCTTGAAAAAGGAATTTTTCTGTGCTTTTTTCCTTTCCTTGTTGGATAAAATAAAAGACGGTTGCGACTCTTGCTTACCGCGACATTTTGCAAAAACAAACGCAAAATGCGAACCAGCATTCCAAAACAGTCAGTTCTTTCCCACCGTATCACAGAAGGTATTAGCACCCTAAACATCTAGGGTACTCCACAGGAACCTATTTGAAAATATGTGTATGTTGGCTATTAAAAAGAGTTATTTGTATGAATGAATCAATTTGGGAAAAAGAAAGTTTTTTTTTACTATTGCGTTCGCCTGAATCTTCAATCCAGTGCCTACGTATCCCGGGAGGAATCAGAACACTCGTAGTTCTCCTTTAAAAATCTTAAAACACAAGTGTGTTGGTTAATTTTAAGAGACGAGACATCATCGTCATTGTCCGTGTGGAAAACATACTTACTACCCACAATTATGAGAAAGGAGAATTTGCATCATCTCAAAGTGGAGGATATGACTAGGATTTTAAAATCAACAATGCCTCACTCAACACCCAAGTGGAAAATATCTCATTTTACTACATATTGTATAAGTATAGTAGCTCGCGTCACTACAAGGATTGACAAGAGTATAATTTTGTGAGAAAATTTTAAAGTAAAAAGCCAAAATGGCAAGGATAGTTTGAATGAGATTGATTTACTTTTAGTCTTCTCACAAAAAAATGTCAAAGTATTATTAAGTTCATTAAAGTTCAATTAAGAAAATATTTTGAAAATGCATGGACATAAGTCCAAGTTTATTGTGAAAGCGATTCAAGTTTAGAAACAAGAAGAGTTTTCAAAAGGAGGAAGAAGATTTTTGAAATTAAAGAAGATAGGAGGAGATGAGGGGACTATCCTGATGTCATCATGCTTGTACCAACATCCTAAGGTCTAATCATCATAAAACGATCAAAGGGAGATTAATCGTCTCATGGAATCTTAAAGGAGCATGAAATTAATACAAAATAATTCTCAATACTCAAGCATCTTATTTAATCAATATCACACAAAGAAAATACATAAAACATGATGTTAAACTTGATTTAAAAAGAGATCAAGAAAAAAATGAGGAAATAGTAAGAATAAAACCTAATTAAAACACTTCTAAAAAAATCTAAAGTTTTTTTTCATATATATTTTTTTATTATTCTATTATTTTTAATACCTAAAATCAATAAAAGAAACTAAAACAATTAAAATGGGAAGGAAAAATATTATGGAGGTGAGAATTAAGAAAAAGGGTGTGGTAAAAAATGGCGCTAAGGCCCAGTCAAAAAGATCCAGGGAGCAATTTGTTTAAGCTCCAAAAAAAAATTTATAACAGGCCTTCAGCCTACCTACAACATGGCCTTCGGCCCAAATTCCTTTTTCCCAAATCTCAGTCTTTATCTTCATTTCAATTTTTATTTAGTAAAAAAAGAAAATTAAAAATAATAATAATGATGCAGAGCATTGTCGTTTAGATGTTATGCTAGGGTTAAGAAGTCGTTTCATCTTCTTCTTAAAACACTCTTTCCTCTCCTCTCAAAATTGCGACCACTCTCACCACCACCGATTCCGCTCCGACGCCCACCTTCTGGCTTCAATCATCACGCAATGGTTTACGGTTATGCGATCTCAAGATTTCAATTTACAGAAGTTCAAACAACAATTACCTCATTGAAAATCAAGTGAGAAAGTGGCCATAAATGAAGGTTCAAAGCTTACCAATCGGAGTCGCTTCGATGTCGCTTCTAACATTCCACAGGCGAAGAGAAATCCTTGGAGCTTCAATGGATCTCAGGTATTATTATGCTTTTTCAACCATTTCTGAATCGCTTCTTCCTATTCCTTCTTCTATTTCTCTGTTTCTATGCTTCCATGTTTTTTTGAACTTGCCGCGTGAAGTTTTGTGATTCATTGTTACAAGTCACATGTTGATTATGATGAAACAGAGAGAGTGAAGATGATTGAAGATAGCGAAGCAAGGAGAACTTGCGGAGAATTCAGAGAAGATTTTTTTAGAATATTGTTAAATGCATCGTGAGTTTTTTCAGATTCGTGAAGGAGGATAGAACAGAGAAATGGAGTTTCTCTGGTTTGAAAGAAGATGGAGCAAAAAATTTCTTCAGCCTCTCTCCTTGCCCTTTTTCTTCTATTTTGATAAGTTGGCTTAAACTTCTTGCACACACTTCTCTCAACTTTCTTCTGTTTCCGTTTTTGGTGATTTTCCTCTAAAATTCTATTTATAAAGCTTGTTAGAAAAGCTTGAAATATTTTGAGCTGTAACATTTGGATTTATGATTTTTGAATAATTCCTTGATTTAATAATTCCTTTTGCATCTTCTGTTTCTAGTGTTTTTTATAATTGAAATTCAATGGTGCAGGGTGGATTTCTTCGAGCTTTTGAATCGATGCCTGCTACTGGTTTTGGAACTGGTCTTGTTGATGTCTGCAGGGCGGGTTCTTTTTGGTATAACAAGGTCCTGTTTTTTTGCAGATTTCAAACCACAATTTGATGTCAAGGTAGAAACTTTGGTGTCATTTGGAGAGAGGAAGATAAGCCTTAGGAACTTTAGATAAAAAAAAATGTCTTGTATCTTTTCTTTGTGAATTTTTTATGTATTATGATGTAAATTTGAATTTGAATTACTTTGAATTTTGACTTGAATTATGCTTGCACGAAGATGAACCAAGTGAAATTCAGTGAACTTTGAAATATGGAATGCTTGTAATCTTCTCTTGAATCATGATATAAACTTCTAAATTCCAAGCAAACAAAATTAATCAGTTTTCTAACTTTACAACTTTGATCTTGGAAATGCATTTGTAGGAAATGATGAATACTTTAAGTTTTTTTTTGAATTCCAAATGATGCACTGGAATAAATTTGAACTTGGATTTCCACTAGAACTTATCACTTGTAAATTGCATTTCAAGTAAGCCATAAACATGAAATTTCCAAACTCAACTTTTAGTCTTCAATTCAAATCCAAAATAATTTGTAAGCAACTAAATAATTGAATAGGCAACTAAACTCTGCTTACAAAGAAATCTCAATCACATCTTCCATGCCATGATTCATGCTTTGCAATTTAATCCACAAAATCGTCCTAGCTTGATAAATATTAATCTTGAAACAAGATTAATGTATTGAGGGACGACTTAAAGATGAGTGATAGGACTTAAAGTATAAGGTCCAATGACTTTCAATCGAAATGCCGAGAAACTCAAGCATGATAAGATGTAAACCCTAGCATGATGAACTTTGTTGAAGAATTATTATCAATGCTCAAGCAAGATAGGAGAAACCCTAATGCATTTTTTCTTCGAAGAAAATTCTGATGAAGAAAACTTTGTATCTTGAGGAATATTGCCAAGGAAAATACCCATGATACTCGTAAATCCAAAACCCTGATTTTATACCAAGAGTGATAAATGAAACAGTGGACTCAACTTGAAAGAGGTAGTAACCTCAATTTATAGGGGGAAATCCTAATGCCAAGAGCCATTTGATCACATGCTTTAAGATTTTAAATGAATGAAAGATTTATGATGTAAATGCAGATGATGTTATGAATGAACAAATTAGGGGTAAAAAAATGGGGTATGACAATAAGATCCAAGCATTAATGAGAAGCCTTGATAATTCTTGAGGTGGTAGTCACAAGATTTTTCTCCAATTTATTTTTTTAATCTTTTATTTTTGCATGGACCAGTTCTTTTGAATTTTGGTTCATCAGGATACCCTAACTTTTTCCTAAGTTAATTTTTTTGATTTTCTTTGACTTGGCGGGCTTTCTCCTTTTGAATTTTTTTTTGCTTTTTTATTTTGAACATTTGTGGCAACCATGTTAACTTTGTAAGCTTGTCTTCATTGTTTCCTCGATCTTGAATGATGTACTGAGGAAGAAGACGTTGTGGAATATATCTTCATTAATTCCTTAATCTTGGATGATGAATGCAAGGAAAAGGATATGCTTGAACCTTTGGTTATTGATTTGATTATCCTGAGATTTGAATGCACCATTGAATTAGTTGAAGGACTACCCTGCCCCTGGTTAAAATTAATGTTTTTTTAGAAAATAGAACAAAACTCCAACTCCTGGCTCGAGGGGGTTAACTACGGATTAACTCCTTATTTATCCATTGTTTAGGAATTGAAACAATGCCTTAAATCGTCAGCCCGATCTTATCATTGAAAGCATACATTTAGAAAAATTCAGCTATTTAGTTTACATCATTCTCCCTTAAAGTTTGTTAAAGGTAAAAGATGGAAAAGTGAAAAGCGAAATGGAAAAGTGAAAAGCGAAATGGAAAAGTCGTTAATTATATATGGAAGGTGATGAAAGAGTGAAACGAATGAATTGACTTTGAAAACGTGCATGCTCATTTTATTTGAATTACTAGTTAAAAGAGACAAAGTTACAACAAATGGAACTTAGCAACTAGGAAATTACAATTTGTAATTGATAAAGTCTAATGATCATATGGAAGAGCTTCTTTGTTGATCCATTTGACTTTAGGAGAATACTTCTCAGTTCTTGGACTTGTAAAGGTATGGGGTGATCTTTGATTCTTCTTGGACATACCTATTTCATAAGGGCATTTATCTTGTTGATTGTTGCTTTTGAATCACCAATGATAGTTGCATTTGAGCCGTTGTGTAGGCCTATAGTTGTCATGGTGAAGGGTTGTCTTCTCTCATCAATAAGATTTATAGGACCAAGATCAATTGAGTCTCCAATGTTTGACTTCTCCTTCACCAATCTAGGATTTTCTTGAATTCCTTCCCAACTTTCTTGAAGCATGCTTGAAATTTACTCTTAAGCATTGGGAAATCTGCTAACTGGATCAAGGGTAAAGGTTGAAATACGTATGTATGAATGTATGTAAATGGAAATGCAGGGGTATGCAAAAATATTTTTGTTTTTAAGGGTATGCGAAAATATTTTCATGGAGACGCAAAGCAATGCAAGGTTACAACGAAGATAAACCTAAGGATAACCTATACGGATTGTGACAGATACAAGAAAGCCCCTTAAGGGCTAGCGATTGTGACAGATAAATAGTAATCCCTACAGGTTATAGATAATGACAAACATAAGAAAAATCCTACGGGTGACAGTTAAGAGGAGACCCCTACAAGCTAGTGGTTATGACACTCTTACGGAAATCTAAACGGGTTTAAAGATAGACATGGAAATGAGGATACCCTATACTAACTTAGAGATTGAGACAGACATAAGGAACCCCCATAAGGGCTAGGGTTAATGATAGACCAAAGGGAATCCCTACAGGCTAAGGATTATAACAAACAAAGTAGATCCCTACAGGCTCAAGATCGTGATAGACGAGCAATTGAGATAAAAGTTTGACTTGAGAGAATAACATGGAAGAGAGTACATGGTGACCGTTCAACAGTCACCAGATCCCATGGCCTTCTAGAGGCCACGTGGCGTGCATCAGTGAGGATGTCCTTCACGGGAAGGTTCCACATGGGGAACAAATGGGTATAAAGATTCTAAGGACAATGACAGACAAAAGGGAACCCCTACCAATTACGGATTATAACAAACAAATGGGAACCCTTACAGGCTAAGGATTGTGATACCCCACGAGAAATTCCTACAGGCTTGGGATTGTGACTTAATAGAAAACCCTACGGGTTAAGCCAAAGAATACCCCTATGATTTTAGAGTATAATGACGATAAGAGGTAACCCTATGTAGGTTTAAAGTTATAAAAGAATGTCCTTCGTAGGAAGGCTTCCTATGAAGGATGATATGACAATAGTTTCCTTAGTACGGAAGTTCCTAATTTTGTCCTACGGATATTCTACCCTCCCCATAAGGTGGCTTTCTTAAGGGTATCATGGATAACACTAGAGGGAAAAGACACAAGGGCCTCCATTAGATGGAGCCTCTTTATAGACTGAGACTTTCGTCTCTTAGGTCGTAAAAGGTCTCGTCATGAGATTTTGTTTTAGGATTATACAAAGAGTCATTGGCCAAATAACGAAGTTCTACATCCTAGAGAGTATAGCCCTCTAAAAGATATTCCTTGGAACTCAACTGACTCTAGGTGAAGTCGTCACCAAAGCTCGTAGGGGTGTTTATCCCCCTCGGCCAATAGACAATCCTTCTTCTAAGGATTGTTATATTGAAATTTGAATTTAAATTCCACCAATAATAATGTAATAATAAAATAATAAAAATATTAATAAAAAATAAATAAACAGTAAACAGATATAAAACAAAATATAGAAAAAATAGAAAAACCCAAAATAGAAACCCTAGATCTAAAAGAAGGGGGTAGACTTAAACCCTAGGGTTGCATCCCCAATAGAGTCGCTAGTTGTTGTAAACGGCAAAAAAATAACGAGTCACCACCATTAAATTTTGTCCTAAGGACGGGAGAATAACAGATAACCCTAATTGTTTAGAGATTCTAAGTCCGCGAGTTGGTTAGACGAAGGGAAGGTATTAGGCACCCTTCATCTACCTTGTTCTCGAGGGGCTCCATTTTTAGGTCTAAGGGTAGATCAGGAATTTCTACTTAGTTGTGTTGTTTCCATATATTTAAGAAAATGTTTAATTTTTTTAGTTGAATGAATCACCTTGCTTTTAACCGCGTGCCTACGTATCTCCTTGAAAAGAACCAGAGTCCAATTTCATAGTTCGGATGTGTTTGGTTGGTGTTTTTATAGGATTGCATGGAATTGCTTTTAGATTATCCTTGAATCTTGTCTGAGTTTGAAAAATGAGTGATCGTAGACATTGTTCGCAGTTAATTTTGAAACTAACTCTATTTAACCCTTTTTCGAAAATGATTTTGAATTTTTATTAAGTTAGTAAAAAATGATTTGTTGTTGGTTAGTTGTTTTAGATTAATTTTGAATCATTGAAGAAGGTCGAGTCTTCATCAGAATTAAGTCGCTCTAGGCGAAGTAATTGATTCGATTGAGTCTTGATAAAGAATCTTTATCTTTATCTGAATTAAATTGCTCGAGGCGAAGAAATTTGACTTTGTTCATTTATGCTTTGAGCTATAGCATTTGATTATTGCTCTAGGCATAAACAAAGGTTCACATGAATTTTAATTGTATTTTACTTGAATAATTAATTAATAAATATTAATTCGACCTATTAATTACCAGAGGATGTAAAATCCTTCTATTTGCATTTAAAAATGTGAGACTAATTTGATTAAAAAGTTTGATTTATGTATTTTTTTTCTTCCGGATTTGTAGAGTTTGATATTTTTCTCTAAAAATTAAATGCATATTTTTGGAATTTTCTATTTTTCTATAGTTTTTTTTTGTATTTTAATAATGAATAAAAGTTAAAATAAAAAAAAAGTTCTTTTTTTCATACTAATAATAAGAAGAAAAGTTAAAGTTAAAAAAAAGAATTTTTAGGGTTAGAAAAAAAGATTTTCTATAATAATAATAAAAAAGCTTAAGGTTAAAAAAAATATTTTTTTAAGGTTAGAGAAAAGATTTTTTTTATAAAAAAAAAGGTGAAAATAATAATATAAAAAAATACGAATATCATCAACCATACATAAAACAAATAGCAATC